TGATGATGGTGATGGTGGTGATGGTGATGATGATGATGGTGATGATGGAGGTGGTGATGATGGTAATGATGATGGTGATGATGATGACGATGATGATGAGGGCGATGATGTGGAGAGATCATTTGTTGGAGATGTTGCAGTGGCACACTGAGGCCACTAAAATGGAGCTAAGTGGACAGAGCACTGGGCCTGGAGTCAGGAAGACCTGAGTTCAAATTCTCCTCACTTACTAGCCATGTGACCCTGGGCAAGTCACTTCCTGTCTGGCTGCCTCATTCCTCATCTGTAAAACGGGCTTATAAGAGCACCCACCTGTCAGGGTTATTGTGAGGACCAGATGAGATCGTATTTGTAAAGCACTGTGTACAGTGCCTGGCCCCTTGTAGGAGCCCCGTAACATCCGCTAAGGTTATTATTGCGGTGGTCGGCATCCTTGGTGAGCTACGGCTTGGTTGAGATGGAGCCTGAGTCCCTTCCAGCTCTGACACTCTGTGTTTCAGTGACCTTAGAAACCACCTAGTCCAGGCTCTGACTTTGCAGTTATTCCCTCTGCCATCACCCCCAAAGCATGTTCCTCCACCTTCCGCCTGAGCAGCTCCAAGGGCTCACTCCACTGACGGATGGCTCTTATGGTCAGGAAATTCTTCCTTCCACAGGTCAGAGACCCACCACCCTAAAACTCCGCTGCACCTGGTGTGGCCCCCAGGACCAAGCAGGTCCATTTAATTTCTCTTCTGTGCACTCATGTTTGGGTGTGTGAAGGCAGCAGCCCTCCCCACTCCAGGCCTTTTCTCTGCTCCGAGCTAATTATGCTCAGGACTTCTTTGGCCACCGTGGAGGTCCCTCCCCGACCAGGACACTCCCAAACCTGCCAGTGTCTCTTAAAATGTGGCACCTAGAACCATTCTGAACAGGAGAGGGGCCAGCCAGAGTAGTCCTCCACTAGCTGTAGAACACAGCCCAAGCTAGACGTGGCTCTTTGCCCAGCTGCAGAACATCCAGATGGAGAACACTCCAGCTCCTAGGCCCCAGGGGATTGGTCCACACATCTCCCAGCCAGGTCGTTTCCCACCTTCCTCAAGGAACCAACAGGCCTGCTCACTGCTGGGGAATATTTCCTCTCTGGATGGAAGGCGTCCCAACCCCCGCTGCTCCACAGGCTGAAGCCCATGGCCCAAGGACGCTGTGCTCACGGAGGGCCTCGCACCACGGCTCTCAAAGCTGTGTTCTCCTGGGCCAGAGGGCTACAAGTCAGGACAAGTTTCCCTGAAGTCTTAGCCTGTGTGCAGAATGGAACCCCTCTGTGAAGGGCAGCTTACCCCAGGAACTCTTTTAGGGAAACCAACAAGCCCAGCGGGCCATGTCTTAGGTCCAAAGTATTTGTGGCAGAGGGAAGGACTGCCGTGGACCGGCCCCCAGCTTCTCGGGCGCATTATCTATGACTGAAAGGGGGAAGCTCAGACAGCAATGTGTCACTGATTCCATCCCAAGGTGGGCCACTTGGCCGGACTCTCCTAGGCTCCGTCTCTGTCTCTCTGTATCTCTCCCCTTTTCTCTTTCTCTCTCCCGTCTCTGTCACTTGGAACAGAAACTCTTCGGGGGGGGGGGGGAATGGAAGGATCTTTGTTTAAAACTTTTGTTTAAATTTTGTTTAAAAACAAAAAAACCCTGTGTTTTAAGTGAGAAATACAAGCCGTTTGGAAAACCTACGGGAGAGGTCGGATCCCAAGTGGTTCATAAGCCTGAAGCTGGTACCAAGCTCAGGCTGAGGGAGGCTAAGGCTGCCCAGCTTGGGAGGGCAGCTCGGGATAACGTACAGAGAGCTGGAGAAGGAGGCAGGGGCTCTGGGGTCAAGTCCTGCCTCGGCCACTCACAAGCAAGGTGACCTTGGGAAATTTGTGTGCCCTCAGTTTCCTCAGCTGTAAAACGAGGGTGTTCGACTAGATAACCTGTCGGGGGCCTTCCAAGGGGCTATAATTTTATGAACTGAGCAGTGTTTGAACATTCCTTTTTGGACCCGTTTTCCCACAGAAACAGGATTCTGCCCTGGGGGAGGCTCCCAGGCTGGTCCAGAGGAGCCCAGGTGACTCAGGGTACCTGAAGTCTAAGTGCTAAGAGAGCTAGCCACACATTACCCCTAACGACCACAGCGGTGCTGCTTCTGAGAGCTGGAAGGCCTCGTTGGGTGGTGGGAAATGCATTCAGAGATGCAGGGATACAAGCTGTCCTCCAGCCCCCCTCCCCAACCCACTGCAGACGGGAGCAAAGGCTGGACCAAAGGAAGGGGGCGTTGCCAACGTGGCTGGGGATGGGGGGGGGCACACCTCTCCCGCTCCTCTTTCCTTCTTCCCTCCCCCGCTGCTTCCCAGGAGCCGTGTTGGTCCAAAGGCACGGGGAGGATGGATGGAAGGACGCAGGAGGGACGGGCTGGGCTAACAAGGCACGATTTCCACCCTCGACCCCCAGGACCTCAGCCAACCGGAGCTAGAGTGTAGGAAGGAGAGGAACAGGGTCCTCTGGCTTTTCCTCACTCTCCTTCTCTGCCTCCACGTTCCCCCGGACGCTTGCCCAGACTCTCCAGGTGCTGCAGCCACAGCTGCTCAGGGAGGGAGACACGTGGCTGGCAAAACGCGCTCATGTCTATGAGGGATGTCCCACTGGGGGGCCGTGGCTGAAACCGAGCTAGAGTTCAGAAGCGTTGGCGGGGGAGAGGGGGGTGCGGGGGCGGGTAGTGTGACTCTTCCCTAAGAGGAAGGAGGCTGGACTGGTCTTCACAGGCCTTCTCCTCTGCTTCCTTATGTGGACAGGCAGAGAGAAGGAATGAGGAGCTGAGAGGGAGCCCCCGCCTGTTGGGAATGGAGTGACCTCAGCCCAGGCTTCAGTGGGACATCCCAGAGCTGGCAGCTCAGGGCAGCAGAGGCCTGCTGGGAAGACTAGCCCCTGAGTCCTCCTCCAGGGAGGACCAGCCTGGGCAGGGCCATGGAGGCCTCCAGGGAGGATGGACCTGGGCAGGGCCATGGAGGCCTCTAGGAAGGACCAGTCTGGGCAGGGCCATGGAGGCCTCTAGGGAAGATGGATCTGGAAAGGGCCAAGGAGGCCTCTAGGAAGGACCAGTCTGGGCAGGGCCATGGAGGCCTCCAGGGAGGATGGATCTGGAAAGGGCCACTAGCAGAATGAAAAACCAAAGTAGAGGCTTGCTCTGTATCATATGTGCGTCTTACATTCCTTGTTTAAAAAAAAAAAAAAAGCCAAGGGCATTCCAGGTTACTTTGATAAGAGATAAGCAGAACGTGCTTGAATTGAAGCCCCAAGAACAGAATTCAGACCCTCACTGTCTTAAACCGCGTGACCTTTGGCCAGTCACTTGACCACAATGGGCCTCAGTTTCCCCAATAGGAGGGGGTTGGCCTGATGGCCAGAGGCGGCAGGCCCCTCCCAGCTCTCCCTTTAGGACCCTAAGGGCCCTGCTTGGAGCCTGGTCGCCATGAAGGAGCCCAAGGCACCTACTGCCCCCTGGTGGGTGCTGGGTGAACTGCAGAAAGTACTTAGGAAAAATGCCCGGGCTCCCGCCGAGCCTAGAAGGTCGAGCTGCCGGAGAGGAGCCTTGGGTGCCCTATGGGGCAGGCAGCTTGGGCTGAAGGTCCAAGCCTGGCCCAGTTGGGATGGATGGATGCATGATGTCTCATCCTCCGGGGCAGAGATGTCAGGGGATGGAGCCAAGTGCCTGCTGGGAAGGCAGGACCTCGGTGGCCAATGTGCCCTCGGCCCGCTCTGCCTCCTCGGTCTGAGCCCCGGTTTCCTGCCTAGCGCCAAGGGCCCAGCAGGCTCACACGAAGGAGCCAGGTCCAGGGATGGCCTGGGCTGGACAGACCTCAGAAACTCCAGGAAACACAATTACAACAGCATTCCAAAGGGTGTGGAGTATGGATTTTTTACTTGAAGAAAGTAGAAAAGGCTGGTGAGGCCCCGGGGGCCCTGGCCCAGGCTCCCCCCCTTCTCCGTGGCTCCCCACCTTGTAGCTCCTCCCCCTCCCCTGCCCAAGCACCGCCTTCAGCCCAAGAACACGGCCTTCTCCAGAGCGTCGTTCATGTGCATGTACTCCACAGTGGCAGGGTAGTTGGTGCATTCGTAGCGTTGGCTGTTCCGAACGTACTCCAGAAAGTCTGGAGCCCCGGGGCAGATGACATTGTCGGCCAGGAGCACCGACCCCTTCCGAAGGACGCCGCTCTCCTGCAGAGGCAGAAGAGGCGAGGCTGTCAGAGCTGGCGAACTGGGACGGAGGGATACCCGAGGCCCACAGAGGTAAATGACTCGCCCAAAGTCACGCGGGCAGTGAGGGGCAGGCAGAATTTGAACCCAGGTCTTCTGACTCCAGTTCTCATTACACCACATCTCTATTGGGCGTCAAGATTTACAGAGGGCTTTCCTCCCAATGACCCTATGAACTAAATAGTACAGAGACTGTTATCCCCATTCCACAGATGAGGAAATGGAGGCTGGGGGGAAGAGGCTTGTCTCTCATACAAAGTCAGTACCCTGACTGATCTCTTTGGGGTCACCCTTTTTAGTGGGTTCAGAAGGCCTGGCCCATATCCACCTACATAAATGTGACTTTAGGGGCCAAATGGTAGTATCCCCGAACCCAGAATAAATATGCCTGCCTAGCATTCCGCCATTACGGCTTCATTAATTTTGTCCCTGAAGCCTTTTCAGTCTAGGCAGTAGCTGACATCTTAATTATGAGTTGATGACTTTATTGACAGCCAGCTGAGAGTCCAGAAAGGGTCCCGTACCAAAGGGCAGCAGGAGGAGAATCCAGAGGGAATGACCCACACTGCTCCCACTGAGCCACGCACGGTGCCCGCACCAGGAAAGAGCAAGGCGTCCCACCAGGAGTCAAGAGAACAGACTGAGCAAGTGGGCGGTGGCCCAGCTTGAGCACCGTGCAGGGGCATGGACCCTTAGGGCCCGTCAGGGGCCACACACACCTCCAGACTCTCGGGAGGATCCATCCAGCTGGGGGCTCAGAGGGACCCCTCAGAGGCATGTGCTCGCTAGGACTGAGCCAGTTTCCCCTGGACTCAGCGGGACAGGCTGTGCTCCCAGACTTTGGGAGGGATGGCTCTTTACCACCTGTTCTTCCAGCTACCTCAGGAAATACCCATTTCTAAAAGCTAACTGACTCAGGCTGGTGAATGGACTGTCTATGGAGTGGGGGGCACAGCTGTGTGAGCTCATGGGCAGCAGCAGTATTAAAACCTCCCCCTGCCCCCGCCCCCCTCCCCCCACCCTCAGAGTTCCCCGTAGAACTGGGAGGGCAGGAGGAGCCAGCTGCCCTCGGAGGACCCTGGGGGAGGGGGATTCTAGGGAATGTCACCCAGCAGGCCAGAGGAGACCCCTCCTCTGTGACTGCACCAATTAAGGAGGCAGCGCCAGGAAGGTGGTCCCCCCAAGCCAGTCACGGGGGTCCAGGGTCTGGGAAGGAATCCTGAGCCTCACTCTTCTTTCTCTTCTGTCCCCCTCCCTAGGAGGTGCCTGGCACATAGGCTCAGAAGCCACCTAAAATGCCAGGGACCAGGGCTGGACTGTCTGCCAGTCTCTCCCTTGCCCCGGGGGTCACCTGCAAGCAGCAGATAAGAGCAGGGAGAGGGGGAGCTGAAGGGCTGGCACCCCCACAGAGGCCCCAGAAAGACAGTGCCCAGCTGTGAGGGAAGTTCCAATGTGGGGGGTCCTGGTATCTGGGATGGGGTGCCTCTGAGGCCCCTTCCAGCTCGGTCTGAGCCTCCTTCCCCTCCCTCCTCATGGGGGCAGCTCTGTGGCCCAGGGGAGCGAGTTCAAATCTGGCTTCAGACATGAGCTGTGCGACTGCCTCAGAGCTGGAGTAGGGGACAGCGCAGCAGCTTTGGAGTCACAGACGGAGGGGGTGACAGGAGCCGGAAGGTGCCTCCAAGGCCCCATGGAGAGCACGCGGTTGTGGCCAGAACGTGAACCCAGCTCCTCTGATTCCAAAGTCTCTCTGTGCCCCATACTGCTTCCCCAGAGCTGAGCTAGGCGGGAGTCCCACTTCCAACATTCTCCAGCTGTGTGACCTTGGGCAAGTCATTTCTGGGCCTCAGTTTTTTCTTCTGCAAAATGGGGATCGACAGGCACCATGGTTTAGGTCAGTGGTGTCAAACTCAAAGAGAAATGGGGCCATTAAACCAAGCAAAAAGGTCCGTGGGCGGCAGGCTGTCTTTGTTTTAAAGTGCAACATCACCTGTTTTATGGTATTTTTATTTATTTTGTTAAATATTCCTCAATACATCTTAATCTGGTTCAGGCCTCCCTCTGGCTTAGATGATGGAGTCTTGAAGACTTGAATTCAAGACCCACCACTCCCAATGTCTGTTGTGCTGGGGGAGGGCATTTCCACGCTGGGAACTGCCCACGTGTCTCTCCCCACTCCAACCTGTCCTTTGCTTAGATCTCAGCACGCCACACTCTGGGGCTCCTGATTACCCCCAGCATCCACATGGCAGCTCTTTCAAGCTCCCCAAGCCTGGCCCCTTTTTAGCCTTCCCAGTCTCATTACCATCACTGTCCTCCACCCACTCCACAGCCCGGTCACACTGGTGCCCTCGCTAACCCGCCCCATGATGCCTTTGCACTGGCTGTGCCCCACGCCTAGAGTGCCGTCCCTCCTCACCTCTGCCTTTCCTGGCTTCTTTCAAGACTCTGTCCCAATCCCACCTCCAGGCATGAAGCTTTTCCCAGTGTCCCCTCCTCCTGGGGCTTTCCCTCCCGTGCATCACCTGCTCCATTTACACCGTGGATCTCTTATATGTACGCAGCTGTCTCCATGGTGTCTTCCCACCTGACTGGCAGCTCTGGAGGGCAAGGGCCCTGCTTTTGTCTCTTGGTAACCCCAGCGCTTAGCACAGTGCCCGGCACATTGTAAGTGCTTCATAAAACTTGCTGATTGACTGGAAAATTGATTGGAAAATACTGGCACTGCCCACCTCACTGGCTGGTGGTAAGGAAAGCCCCTTGTGAAACAAGACTTAAGAGAAACCTGAGATCCCATTCTGAGAGGGCCCTGGGGGCAGCTAGTCCAAACTGAGGCAGAAACTAGCCTAGCTGCCCCACCCCCAAGGGACTGGCATGAGAAGGCTCAGCTGAATGAGGCTACCTGGGGTATGGCCAAGGCCTGAAGGAATGGATGAATGGATGGATGGATGGATGAATGGATGAATGAATGTACAAGGCCTGAAGGAATGGATGAATGGATGGATGGATGGATGAATGAATGAATAACCAAGGCTTGAAGGAACGGATTCAAGGATGGATGGATGGATGAATGGATGAATGCCCAAGGCCTGAAGGAACGGATTCAAGGATGGATGGATGGATGGATGAATGGATGAATGCCCAAGGCCTGAAGGAATGGATGGATGGATGGATGGATGGATGGATGGATGGATGAATGAATGAATGCACAAGGCCTGAAGGAACGGATTCAAGGATGGATGGATGGATGAATGGATGAATGAATGCACAAGGCCTGAAGGAATGAATGGATGGATAGATGAATGAATGCCCAAGACCTGAAGGAATGAATGGGTGGATGGATGCCCAAGGTCAGAAGGAATGGATGGATAGATGGATGGATGAATGAATGCCCAAGGCCTGAAGGAATGGATGGATGGATGGATGAATAAGTGAATGAGTACAATGGTTGACTACCTCAGGGTCTACAAAGGTGACAGAATATTATTGTAGTGTCAGAAATGCTGAAAGGGATGGTTTCAGAGAAGCCTGGGAAGACTTCAATAAACTGATGCAGAGTCAAGAGAACATTGCATATGTAACAGCGATATTGTTTGAAGAGAAGTCGTGAAATGGAATATGGAATATGATTACTCAGAGAGATGAATCATCACTCAAATCAACTCTGAGGAATTATGAAGACACTCTCCACCTCCAGAGAAAGAACTGGTGTATGGAAGTACGCATGACATGGGCCCACATGCATATTGAGGTCAAATGTCGACCTTCTCCATGTGGGGTGGGGAGGGAGGGAGGCAGGGAGGGAGATAACTCAGAATGTAAAATGTAACAAAAAAATTTTAAAACAAGAAAAAAGAAAAAAGAAAGACCAAGGACTTTGGTCCACCATGGACCCAACCACAGGCCCTGGGGACTTGTGGTGAAACATGTTTCACCACCCCTAGCCTCCACAGGAGGCCGATGGACTTGAGGCTCAGAATGAGGCTTTGGTTTGGTTTGGGGCACGGCCAGTGAGGGAGTTTGTTTGCTTGACTACGTGTATCTGAAATGGGGTTTGTCCTTCTCATTGGGTGGAGGCTGGAGAGAGAGAGAGAGAGCGTAGACTGGAAAATTAAAAACAAAAAAGCTGAAATTTAAAAACTAAGTCAGTAAGTGTTTCAATGGCCCTGGGCCGTGAGGGTCCCAGGGTGGCTTGGAGGGTCTCAGTGCTGGAATCCCCTCCCTCCTTTCAGAGAAGAAGAAGCTAAAGGCTGGAGAGGCCTGTGCCACCATGCAGATCATTAGTGCCAGGCTTCCTGACTGCCTCGACCTGGCACGCCTGCCACTCGGCATCTTTGCCAAGCTTGTACAGATGCCAGAGAAGCCGCAAATATTTGGGCCCAAAAACTGGGGGTCATTTGTTTCCTGCAAAGCCAGGCTTAGGGCCTCTCTGCTTTTCTTCAGTTCTTTTGGGGAGGGGTGGGTTTAGATCTGCTCAGTGCTGGCTTTTTTAGACACCCTGCATTGCCAAGGTTTCTGCACCCCCGCCCCTCCCAGAGGGCCCTCCATGAGAATAAGCCTGACAACAGCCCCCAAAGTGGCCCCTGCCTGTGTGTAGGAGACAGGGTTATGGGAGGAATCAGAATGAAGAGACAGGAGGAGCTCAACCAGATGAAGATGCTGAGAGCCTGCTAAGTGAGCTGCTCGCTGGGCCAAGAGTGGGCTAAGGCTAGGGCCGGGGCCGGGGCCGGGGCTGCTGCAGAGCTTGGGGTGGGGGGATAGAGGGGCCATGACTGCAGAGCTCACAACTCTGGGACCAGGGTGGGGGGCACAGCTGCAGAGCTCAGACCCCAGGGGATGGGGAGGCTGTGGAACTTGGGACCTGGGGGGGGCACTGTGGAGC